ACATACATACATACATACAGATATCTACATGTATGCATGTAAGTGTGTATGAATACAATGCTACCTTCGCCTACTGGTGACCTACCTACCTATTCGTGTGTGTTGTCGCATGGACGAAACACTGCGGACGGGGAAGCACACATGAATGGATGCACAGCGCTGCAATTGTAGAGCGTTAATCGCAGTCACGCCAGGATCATTACCGGGTATCGCACTAGCAATAACTGAATTTCACAGTCGTAATTTCTAGCCTTGTTGATTGTACGAGTAGATCGATCGACAGAGACAATCGTTCTGCTTCCAAAGTGACGGTCGACTTCCAGAGCTATGTAGAACCACATCAGCAAGAGTAACCATATCAGATTATGGGTGACCCCAGGCTTATGACGAACCGAATATTGGCAGTACCCGACATGCGGGCAACGTCTTGCCATCAACGGTAGCAGCATCAACGATCCCATTGTATCAACGCTACTTTCAAGAACGGCAAACCTAATACTGATAAAGAATTGTAGCATGACAAAGACCGATAACAACAGCGCTGGAGTTCCATCATTATTTGTCTCATCAAAGATCGCAGACCCATGTGTTCTGTCCACACTGCATACGCTTCGCTTGTCAGCGTGATCGCAGAGACGTCTCCTGACCACTTCTGCAAATCGTTCTCCATGCAAGGCCGCCTTGACAGTGGGCGACATCCCGGACGATACAGCTCTGGCATCGTACCTGCACCTTGATGCACTCAGTCTGCTTGCATAAGCTCTCGCCTTGACTCGAACGGCAGGGGAGCTTGCAGTGTGCAGCCATGACTTCTCTTTTCAGGCGCCGCGCAGGGATCGACCCGGCGGCATACGGCACGGGCAAGGCCAAAACTATTGCCGCGCTCCTCAAGGCAGGGAAAAGAAATGGGCTCAAGCGGACGTCTGGGATGCAGTTGCTGAACCTTCATTAGCAGAATTTCATGCGAGAAGTGTTCTTCGTGCGATTGATCACAACACCTCCGTCTTGATTGCCTTCGCTTGATCCTCACTCCAGCAGGAAGTGGTGAAGGGCGAGACGGTTCTGGCTCCGTGCCTGCACAGCTGTGCCCAATCTTATCGCCACAGCCTTTGCTTGCAGCGTGCACAGGAATGGAATGACAGCCAGTCACAGATCCGCCGCGTCGTCGAGCCGGTTTTCATCCAGCTGAGATGGGGGGACAAGGCCATCCGGCCTCTGGTTGCCGTGTGCAGGAAGGGGCACCGCCGTGGCCAGGTTTTGGTTGAGACGGAGCAGATCCTCAGTGATGGCAGACCACGCCAGAGGCAAAAGATGCAAGAAGCACGCATCCCGAATCAAAAAAAGAACATCACCGGGTGCTACGGGTGCAACTACCCTTCTGTTGGCAGGAACATGCTCATGGCCGAGAAGAAAAGCCCCGAGGATGTCGACATTGAGCACTCAGCGCTTCGAGGATAACGGGAGAAAGGGACATTGAGGAATCCGACGACCCCCCGAGCCCTGAACTCGAAATCCTTCACATGTGTCGCGATCTTGGTCTTTGCCCGGCTTCTCGCCCTGAAGAGGGCGGCGGCTGAAAAGGAGAGTAAGGGAGGATTCGGCTCGGCAATGTAGGCGCTCCTGCTCTGGCGGATTCTTGTCCGGATGGATCAGTCGGAAAATGTCGGAAAGCCTCAGCTTGTGGTTTCAGCTTCCCGGCTTCCAGGAGTCAAGGAGGAGCTGCTCGAGAACGTCTCGGGCTGCGAGATCGATGTGCTGCGCCATTTGCGCACGCAAGCTGCGTCGAGTAAGTTCTACATTTTTTGTGGATCTAGGGAGCGCAGACGGAGAGCATGACCGAGCAGCATGCTATATCTTGGTGAGGCTTCATGCAGGAGTCCTACTGTTGCGTGGCCGAGAATTTGGAGTCGAACTCCTTTCCAGGCCCCCCTTGTTCTGAGATCCTCAAGCAGAGGGGTGCCTTGGTCTCGCTTTTTCAGGTTTGCCATGCGTCTACATCACCCACTACTGTGGGGTGCAGATCCTGGACAATGCCTTGCCACTCTTCAAGGACATCCGAGGGCACCTGCGAGCAACATGCGGCAGTCTCGCTTTCTGAAGGACATTGGTTTTCTGGAAACGGACTTCGAGACCAAGGAGTCTGACGGGAAGGTCCAGAGTGTTTGCTCCAGACCAGAGGGTGTCGGAACAGTGAGCAGATGTGAACAGTGAATTCCGCCAGATCAATAAATGGCGCTGGGTGGACGTCAGCAAAGCCCGGCAAGACAAGGCCGGCTCGGCCCCGGAAGAAGGATCTGCCCCACTGCTTCTAATAAAGCGTGTGGTGGGCTTCTCGAGGTCAAAGGCTTCCCGAAGCTCGAGGAGGACGGCAAGGATGAGGCAGAGTCCGAGCTGTCCGAGCAGTTTTGTCTTGTACACATTTTGAATGGCGAGAGCCTCTATGACACTATGAGGCTCAGGTTTGAGATTCCAGTCTCCTTCGCACTTGCCGGAGTATCGGCTTCGGGTCTTCCAGGATGTCTTAAGAGCAGCACCCACATCTTACATACAAGTTCTGTCGAGGTACTGGTCCTTGAAGCTTGTTCAAATCCTTCCAAGTTTCAAATCCCCAATGCACCCTGGATTCGACACTGTCTGGTTTCTGGTGAAGCCAGCATGTAATCATGCGGAGGCTGTTTGATTGGGTGACTTCTTTTCTGACTTTCGAGGCCGCCGAGGGGCTCTGGAATCAGCTCGACACTCCTCAAGACTGTGGAGATCTACGCGTCCTGGCAATGTTGAGGTGTTCGGCTGTTGGCAACCGGTTTTGTGGAAGCAATTCGGCGGCTGTGGGTTTTAGGGTTGACGTTTCAGTTGGAAGGACTCGGTTGAATAGCAGTGAACCGGATTGGCCAGCCTTATCTCCAGATCTGGAAATCCGGACGAACTCCTTCAGCCCTTTGCTGCACGTCACCAAGGTGTGCTTCTGGAGATGGGTGGTGTGAATGTCACAACCTGGGGCATGTGCCTGGGCACTGTGGGAGTCGTCTCAAGTCAGTTGGGAGTTCTGCAGATTTGAGGCGTGAGCCAAGGGGCTCCGCTGCAAGATATTGCAAGCTCATGCAAGGTACACCGAGGAATCCTTGAAGTGCCTTCTCGACGAGCTGAAGATCGGGGCATCTACGCTTGAGCGTGATGGTTCTGGAAAAGCCGGGCTCCCATGTCTGTGCTTCGGTGCATCATGCCAAATGAAGCTATCCTGTCTGTTTGAAGAGTCTCAGGTCCGTCGGGCCATTTGCTCAAACCTGGTCCAGCTCAAGGTGGATGAGGCCGTCTGATGTACACAGACATACATATATATATATA